GATGGTCAATCCGTGCGAATGTAATGCGGACAGGTGGAGAGTTCAGCTTCACTGGAGATGCGCAATCGACAAACATTAAACTCGTGATTTTAAATTATGCTGCTCTTTATGTATTTGCCCACTGTCATATTCATGTCATTTTCACTGTGTGCTATAAAATGTAAAATGAGTGTTACCTTGGCTTTATTTGAAACAATATGATTAATGCACACAAACCTCCCAGAATACTAAGTGCCCTGTTGGTTACAGTGTTTCCTTCCTTTTTAATTATATTTTTATTAAATATTTATTTATTTCTGAAAAATACTTTGTCACCTAAAGTATAAGTATGTTTATTTAACACATTTATTATTTTAATCAATTTTCAAATGATTTCAAATTTCTTAAATATTAATTAAAATAAATAACATTATATCAGCTTTATATCGGCCATCGGCCACCCTGCTTTAGCTTGGCGTGTTTGGTATATCGTTCCCATTGCGTCATAGCTACGCAGCGTCGAGTGAACCTATGAAAGAGAACGTCTCGGGTTACGTGCATAACCCATGTTCTCTGTGTAGGGAACAAGATCAAGAGGCCTTTTTCGGCAGAGAAATCTGAGGAGCAGATGGCACATTCGCCAGTATAAGGATGGCGACGTAAGAGCGTCGAGGCGGCGCCCGCGCCATCAGCCAATGTATTGCCGTGATTCTATACAGGCTTCAGACAATCAGCACACACAGAGGGTGTTCCCATTGTGTCATAGCTACGCAGCGTCTCATTCCCATAGACTGTATAAAAACATGGACGTAGTGTCCGTGACGTCACCCGTAGGTTCCTGAAGAGGTTTTTGAAGCTCAAAGTGGGCAGAGCCAGCCGTCGCCATCTTGGCAGCGCGTCACCGCGTGTCACTCCCGGATAATCGAAAATGGGCAAAAAGGCGGGAGCTGGTTGCTGAAACACGCCCACCTAGCTCGACGGTGGAGACAGCAGCAGCAATCCCCCTGCCACTCAAGTGGCCACGCCCTTAATTATGCAGAACTTTAAGGCTTTCTGCTGTAAAGTTGGGCATTTTAACATGGGGAGTCTATGGGATTGACTCCCTTTTGCAGCCAGCCTCTAGCGCCCAGTTGACGAATTACAGTTTAAGTCACTTCCTTGTTGGCTTCACGAGAGAGAGCGGGAGGTTGCCGCTTGCTCATTCCCTACTCAGAGAACATGCAAGTAACCCGAGACGTTTTGTACTGTTTATTCTTGTAAACAGTGCTTGATCTGTGCACATTTGTCTACTGATTCAGACCAGAGAACTTTTTCACTGGAGAAACAATATTGCAGTACATATCGTATTTATAATATATTACTGGTTTGAAGTTAAAAGTCTCTTAAAGACAGATTTGTTTCTTACAAACATGCAGCTTTCTGTTTCACATGATGTTAATTAGGGATGTAACGATTCACTCAACTCAAGATTTGATTCGATTTATGATTTTGATTTCACGATTCGATTTGATTAACGATTTGGACTCTCATTCTGACGGCACCCATTCACTGCAGAGGATCCATTGCTGAGCAAGTGATGGAATGACAAATTTCTCCAAATATGTTCCCATGAAGAAACAAACTCATATACATCTTGGATTGGGGTAAACTATTCCTTTAAAAAGGAACATGAACAAACATTGTTATACTGCATGACATAACAGAGCGGATTACAGAATGTGCTTTATTCATGACCTCGGTGACCTTTCACAAGCGCTTGTATTGTAAACATCGCTCTGATATAAATAAAGGCGCATGGATGTTTGATACGTAATAAATATAACAGGTCTGAGATCATTGACAACATCAGATATAATGCTTAAATGGCATTATAAAGTGTGTATTTAGGGTTTATGTCCTTGTCACTTTTTCAAAACCAAGGTGTATTCACCTCTCTTATGTTAAAAGATGATAAACTGGTTTGTACAAGAAACAGGCAGACCGAACTCTTCTCTGAACCAGGTAGACAACTTCATTCAGTCGTTGAATTACATGAACAAATGCTTAAGCTACAAACCACTGATTTACTACACAACCATACTATTATACATGTGTGTCAATTGTATTTAATCTTGAAATATAATGCAGATGAAATTAAATTAAAGGCCACTTAAGTGTACTTGAAGAGAGTTCACTTTCTTGACTATGTCTCTTTACGGCAATTAAGTACAATTTTTAAAAAGTGCATGTTGCAATCATCTCAAATCAAAAGTTTTAAAGTACATTTTAAATCATTATTTTAATAATATTTTATCAACTAAAGCACATGTAAAATACAGAATCATAGTTTTAACTGTAATTATTAATATTACATTTTAAGATAATATATTTTAAATGACTAAATTATACTATTATTACAAATATATTTAAATACATGATATACAAGTTTTAGAAATGACATTAAAATATATTTTAGTGTAAATCAGGACATTTAGCAGCTCACTAATCATATTTCAATGACAGTAGAAGTAATTGAGAAATTACTGTACATGATGATGCAAATTCCTACTAAAGTGAGTTAAAAAACACTCTAAAGGTCATCTAACTGCATTTAATATATGTACATTTAAACTATCATACATTTTCATTAGCATGCAATGAAGTGTATTCTTTGAATATTATTTCCGTGTGAAGACCTCTTTTTTAAAAGTGTGTCAAAGAGTACTTCCTTCTCATAAGGGTAATGAGAGATTGCCAGAGAATAGTGGCCAAGTTTTAGCACTAATGTTGTGCAGTGGTGTCCATTGTGGAGTCCTTGGAAACTAATTGCAAATGTCAGTAACCACATGGTTTCAATGCCATCTGAAAACAATTAGGAAACTACACAGATTCTGTTGCACCGCAACCACACACACCTAAAAAAAAAAAGTACATTTATTAATAGTATGACCAGTAGGACACTGCAACATTGGCTCAACCTGAATTTGGGGACTGAGAGACTGTTCAGGAAGACAAATATGAATATTGAAAAGTTTGTATTTAAATGCACAATAACTAATAAACTGTTCAGCATGCTATTTTAAGTGCTATTCTAATGTCATTAAACATTATTATTATTAACAATAATATTAATATAATAAATTGCTGTTATTATTATTATAAATTATTACTACATTACAATGTATTACAACTACACAGGCTTTCTTGCTCAACGACCACTCAAACCTTTCTAATTTGACATAAATACAATAATATTAATAATATAATATATCATAACATGGTAATAATTGTATAACAGTGATATTATCATCATCTTGCGCAGATCTAATAAAAAAAATTACTATGAAGGTCATGTTATGTCAAATGCAAGTCAAACCCCCC